AAATGGAAAAAACTCTCCAGGAATAATATCGACTGTCCGTGCTCGAACAAACCGACTCAAACACCCTCGATCCTCGTCCTCTACATCATTAACCATAGGGGACCGGGTGGATCGACGTCACAGAGCAATCAAGCCCTGGTAATACAGAGGTCGATATAACCTAACGATATGGCTAAGGGTGAATTCGAGCCTGGCCTTATCCGTAAAGTACCTTATCATCAGCACTATCTTCCAAAAGGATGGGTGAGCCTACGCCAGGGTAACCTGATACCTCCTACAGAACTCAAGCACGACCCTGTTAGGGGAGCCCAACGTAAAGGGATACGTATACATGTTCAAAAACCCCTCGACATAGGGATTGATGCTCTCCTCCGGGGAAGGTACCTGCAGTACCACTTCTTCTCCCTATCCGCAGTCTTTCCCAATCATCTCGAGACGTTCCTCCCCTATTGAGGAGATGAACCTCGATGCATGCTCCCGATGCTCTTGAACGTTGAGAGGTCTCTCCAACGTAAATTCTCTCCTCGAGACAAAGCACCTCGAGGTCAGCTCACCGGTTACCGGCGGTGTACCACTGATCGAACGCGGAACAAAGGTAGAACTCTCCTCTCCTTGATGAACGGATTTCGATATAGCAGCCATGGCTACGGTAAATAGGAAGAGGAGGATGAAGATTTGGGTGAAGGCTTTGAGTTGAAATGACGAGATAACTAGCACAAAGAACAAAAGTTCTATGAGAGGGATAGTTACCCAGAGTAGTAGAATCCCCAGTTAAGAAATGAGCGAATGCATATATAGAGGCAAGCGGCGACTGTTCGCCTATCTAGAAGACCAATTAGGTCTAGCCATAACAGCACCACTTTTTGGGAAATGTACTAGTGGGACCACCCCGGGGGGCCACTACCGTGTCGCATGAATAATGCTGTCACACGGTGCTCGGGAAATATTGAGACCCCGAGGATTTCTGCTATTATAAGCATCGGCCCCAAAGGAGCTATCGACCTAATCTCGAGATGGTGCCCGATGTTGATTGTCCTAATTGCCCCCAAATATGGACTCCTAAGAGTCGACATCAAAATTTGAAGACTGAATTCCGCATGATCACTGAAAAATAAAGAATGCAAGGCTGGAAACAAAAAAATTTATTTTACATTACCAAATATATGTTTGTAAGGGGCACCTTTACAAGGCCTGTTTCCCCGGGAATACATATGCAAAAATAAAAAAGAGAAGGAAAGGTGACACAGGCCTACTCTTCATCGCCACTGCCCTCTGAACCATCTTTGGGATCTTCATCTAAAGTGACCAAGAGTGCCAATTCTTCCTCTGAATCTCGGGCCTCTTCGATCTCAGCTGAGAGATCGACATCTTTTGCATTGGCTTCCTCTAAGGCTTGCCTCCTTGCCTTTGCGTGAGCGTAAGTGACAGTCCGAGTCAGCTTTTGCTCGGCCTCCTCTGATATCTCTAGAGCTAGTTGATTCGAAGTGGCAGCATCCCTCAGATATGTAGCGGCATTCTCTTCGACCTCGAACTTGGTCGCAGATAGCGCAGCAACCTCTTCTCGAGCATTTTGGAGAAGACCCTGGGTCGATTCCAACTCCGAGGTCACAACCTCTTTCGCCTCCTCGGCTCGAGGATTTCCGTGTTCATAGCAGCAACTTCTTCCCGAAGTCGCCCCACGAGAACATCTTTCTGCCCGATCTGCAAAGGAAAAGATAAGTCAGTAAACATCGAATTATGAGAATGGCGAACGAATTTATGAATAACAAGTTACCTGCTCAGCAAGACCAGCCTTTTCTCGGAGTGCTCCCTCCAAATTCGCCCGAAGCTCGCTTAACTCCTCCTCCTTTCGGGCAGAGGAGGACTCCAACTCCTGCATTCCCGAGGTGAGCTTCTCGAGCTCCTTTCCACGGCATGAAATCTCGTCTTGGAGCCTAGAGAAGGCGTGATCATACATCTTCTTAGCCTACAACGAAATAGAAGAATTAGAAAAACGAGGAAAGGTACTTGAGACTAGAAAAGTGTACATAAAAAGCTATCACCTTCTGCTGGAACTTCTCCGCTTCCTCGATAGCGTTGGGAGCGTCGAGATCAATGTCCTCACAAACATCATCAACGCCATCAAGGAAGTTGTCAAGCTCATCTCCCCCTTCGATAGGACCCTCCACGTTGGTAACCTTTGGGTCCTGAGCGTCCCTGAATTCCCCGAGCGAGAACCGAGGACCCAAATTAAGGCCACCAGGGGCGTCGATATCGCCAAGGGGAAAATTCTGTCCCCGAGAAGCTCCAGGCCCGGGCCCTTTGGAACCAGCAGCAACGGTCTCCTCGGCAGAGGCTGCACCACATCTGGCCAAAGGCTCAGGGACCGCATCCGCGCGCTCCTCGAGGTCCTCCGAAGCATGGGCTCGAGCTGAATCAGCCGTTCCCGACTCAGCGGCCCTCGGCACAGACACTTGGGGGGCATCCGTGCTCAGTCTCTTCCTTTGTACCAAAGGGTTATCGCCGTCATCGTCATCCTCATCCTCGTCACCGGAACCCACCCCGGAAGCTGATGATGAGACCTCGGCCTCAGTTCGAGGCCTGCGAGACTTGGGTTTCTTTGATACGGGGGAATCGGCAGCCGGTTCCTTTTTCCTCTTCTTACCCTCATCAGGCTTAGAGGACCCTCCCTCGCCGGCAAGAGGCGGTCTCATTTGCACTCTATCGCCAAGGCCTGCGCAAACATAGTAATCAAAATTTATCAGCACGAAGGATATGGGGAAGAAATATAAAACATAATAGAGGCAGCAAGAAGAAATTTACCATGATTCTTGGCCACCTGCCGCGTTTTAGCCAACTCAGGCCAAGAACTCTCGAGATAGGGAACGAGGAATTTAATCCCTTAATCCACCCCAATAGGTCCGGAACGGATTCGGGATACCAAAGGGCGGCTGCGTGAGCAAAGGGAAATTTAAATTTTTGAGAAGAGAGTGAGAAGACAATAAAGCATACTCAAAGAAGAGACACTTACGCTTTACGTTCCACTCCTCCGGGAACGGCATCCATTCAGCCGGAATAATGTTTGAGGTCCTTACCCAGACAAACCGGCTCATTTACCCCCGATCCTTGTGTTTATCGATACTCGAGAAAAGGGTTTCAAAGACTGAGGGTGAAGTTTGATCAAGCCTCGAAAAAGACGGGGGTTGTACAGCCTGATCAGATGATCAAAGGTAAAAATCGCACTCTTGGCTTTGCTAGAGAAGTAGCGAAGCATGTAAACTATCCTCGAGAAAGAGAGGTAAATTTGGCCAAGTGTCACCCGGTATTTACGAAAGAAGTCGAGAATGACCGGGTCTATAGCCGGAGAAGAAGGGTCCGAGGAGTCGACAGGGCCCAAGGCGAACGGGTATGTGTACACATAAAGAAAATCGACCTTATGGTCTGTTATGCTCTCGTTAGAGCTAGGGATCTCAACCAGCACTTTTTCCCCCATCGGCAGTCCGCCCGCACTTTGTCTATATCTTTCACAATGTTGATGAACCGGGACACGTGTTCGCATCGGCCTGGCATAGATGAAGGTCTCTCGATGGAAAAATCCTTCATAGTATTGAACTTGGTGGGTGTATAGTGTTCAGCAGTAGGAGCCACTTTGGGCTTACCCTTGGATTTATTCTTAGATGTTCGAGATGAAGAGGCAACCTCATCTTTCCGAGGCACTATCTTGGAGGTTCTGGCCATGGCGACCAAAAGTTTTCTTTTCTCGAGAAAGAAGGCAGGAAGCCAAGAGCAAAAGAAAGAGGGGCGTAGATGAAGATGGATTTGGCTCTGAAAGCTTGAAAGAATCACCAAAGTGTGAGTCATTAAGAAATTGGGGTATTTATAGAAGTCGTATGGGCAGCAGAGAAACCAAACCAAAAAACGGTTCGTGGGCTTCTCGATAGGCATGTTGACGGCGACCCTTGCCTGACTTTTGGGTTATGGAATTTAATGCTTTGATAGGCTGACATCATGATGATAGTGCCTAAGGAGTAGGAGTTCAAAATCGTTTCCTATCATTTTATTCTAGGAAACGCGGGGACTATCTGTATACGGCAAAAATCGGCGGTTAGATTTTACGGTCACCAAGGCACCTCGAAGAAACTACCTCCCGAAGGCTCGAAGCTTAGCTCCGGGCACTAGCCTCGAGGGTTCTCAGTAATCTACTTCGAGGTAGCGTAGGCAACGGTCGTCCCGAGGTAGGGTAAATCAGTGGCATCGGTGGATCGGTATAAGGTTCCCAAGGCACGTGACTAGAGCTAACAAAGTATATTAGGCTAGTCCAAACCCGTACCATGGCATTAAATGGATGTACTAGCCCCATATCTTTGTAGTAAATGCATTTGTACTATGTTGGTATTCCCCCTCATATAAAAAGGGAATCCTTGTCATTTTGTAGGGATCAGATAACCAATATTAAATGTACAAGAATATTCTCTCTGTTCTCTAACATATTTTCTTGATCTTATTACTTCCATTTATTGCTTATATTCATTGTGTTCTATTTATTGTTCATCATTTATTGCTTATCATTGATCGTCAAGAACCATCATCGCAACTCTCATAACTGTTAGTCCTTCCTCGGTCGCTCTAAGCCGGCCGCCCAACTCGACCTCGAAGCCTCATACACGACAGTTCGAGGCCTCGATCTCCAGCCGTTTGGTTCGATTATCATATCGCCTCTAGGCTATAATCTTACTTTCTAATCTTTTACTTAGCATTCATTGCCTAACGACTAGCATAAAAATAGATCACGTATTTTTAGAACCACAAAATCAAATTTAATTATTGTTACCATTTTCACGGTAAACACACACACACACACACACATATATATATATATATATATATACACACACACACATTAGGCTTATCCGGCTGAAAATAGTTAGTAATAAGTTTTTTTCGATACTGAAAAAGTAATAAGCAGTTGATGTGTTTATTAGAAAATTACTGATAAAACGCTTCCCTCCCTTCTTTTCTAGTGGAATCCTTCAACTCTTAACAACGTGCACGATGATCAGCTCGACTTGATCTTCAAGCCATTCGAAGAAGATGACTTGGAACTTCAAATTCCAGAAGATGATGAATGCAGGTTCAAATTAATTCGTGTTGTTGCACTTTATCCAACAACATATTTTGCATTGTTGAAGAAGATTATTGAAAATTTAATCTTGCATTTGATTTGAATTAACAGGTGGGAAGGAAATTATGAAAATTCAGGTTATTGTCGTCCATCAACAGCTCTTGGAAGTGTTCTTGTGTAATAAACAGCCAAGTATATAGTCTTGATTCTTGTGTACTCACAGGGGCGGAGCGAGCTTGAACGAATGAAAAAATTATACTGTGCAGATAGGTTAAAATTGCAAGTGTGACATTTTTGAATCCTCTTGACATAATAAAAAGTTCCAATAAAGTGAAAAATTCCTCTATGTCATAGGTTCAAATCTCAAGTGTGACACGCTTTTGCGCCACTTCTCAATCATATGGAGAGTGGGAAAAGAAAAACAGGGAGGAGGCAGGGGCAGACCTATGCTATACAAATAGGGGTCACCGACACCCGTAAAGTTCGGCAAAAACTCCATATACACATATATATGTCTTTAGAAAATAGTGATATATTAGTAGTGAGTACTCTATATGCAAAGTAGATTTTGGTTGAATCCGAAAGTGCACCCACCAGCTTCAAATCTTGGGTCCGCCTCGGGGAGGAGGTAACATAACCCTTGTCAATAGGGGTAGAACATAACTAATCTCGATAAGCAAGTTACATTTACTAACTAATACCAAATAACAGGGAAAACAAAAAGAGAGGATGTGAACCTAAGCAAGAGTAAGAAGAACCTATATAACAGAAAATGAACAAACAAAATTCACTTTTCTTCCTTTGTGGATTATATGTTGAAAATGGCCTTCAATTCATCCTTGCTGCTGTACAATTGATTGAACTCTTTTTAAGAAGAATATGTCTCACTTCTTAGGGTCCCTCATCGACTATATCTAGCCAAAAAGTTCCAAGCAAGCAAAGCAGCCCCAATGGCAGGTTCCACCTAATCACCAAAAGTTGAGTAAATTTAAAAAAAAAAAAAAAAAGCCCGGTGCACAAGGCATCGTGCGCTCACGCAGGATTGGGGGAAGGACCGCAACCCAAAAGGTGTGATGTAGACATCCTCTTGCACGGCTCGAGATGACTAATTGGGTGAGTTACACTACTATGCTAGGTGGTAGCATAGTGATGCAATGTCACAAAACCAGTTAACATTTTGCATGTTCCACGATAGTTTTTAGGAAGCATTCAACTTATATGCAGCGAAATGTGAATAACTTTTACACTATCATTGTATTTTCACCTGTTGTGGCAAGTTACCTACCTTATTTTCCAAGTTACTAATCCTATTTATAATGGATAGTACCTATAATTATCTTTTACGTAGCATGGCAGCGTAAAAAAATTTGGATAGTGTCAGGGTATGGAAGTTAAACTCCTAAGAAATGTATAAACCTTTTACTTTTCAATATCAAGAAACTATATTAAGCATTATCGGGGAAATTACACTTACCTTCGGACAAATTGGATGAACCCCGGGGAAGTCTTTGTGTATACAGTTAATCACTTCTCTTCCTATATCCCATTTATTGTTGGCTTCAAGAACACCCCCAACCATAACAAGAGGAAAAGGATCATTTCCGTCTACAGAGAATTTAATTCAAAATCAACTTGTTAGTCACGTCGAGGGACAGTTTTGCACAAATGCTTAGGTAAAACAAGTTTGACAACACATAAAAAAGAACATCTGTAAAGAGCTTCTGATATTGTTTCAAGGCTAAGTTCGGTGTTTGGAGGTAATAAATACAGAGAGAGTTTACAACAGACACATACAGTCGTAGAGATATGAAAAATATCAAGCATTTTCATGTAACTATAGTCCTATTGCAATGGATTAAACGATTGACAGCATACCTTCACCACACAAGTGTAGTCTTCTAACAACCGCTTTAACACTCGAAGCTAATTCTTGAACCGCATTTCTCAATATCTTATTTGCTACTTCATCACCTCCCTCTGCACAGGACACTACGACTGGAACAAGAGCAGCAATCCGAGCCCAAGATGGATCTGAATAAGTCCACCTGAAAATCAAAGGACAAAAAATGTTCTGACCCAAAGAGTTCTCGTGAATACACATCCGAGAATCAACCCCCCCAAAAGAAGCTATGAGAAGTAATAGAAGTATCTAAACAGAAAAGCATTTCAAGAAGACCTAAGTACTTCAAAGTATTATTATTTATCTCGAATAGATGAGGATAACTCATAATTCAACATGAACATAAGCTTGTAAAGCTAAATACATAACATCATTATGCATGTTTACCAGAGCAACTGGTGAATGCTACAAATACTGTTCCTTTGACATCTAAGGTATCAAGATCAAATGTGTTCCCTGTGCATCTAAAAACGAAAGCAGAAAGAAAAAACTCATAACAACATGAGTAATGAATGCTAGTCCACAAATGAGCATGCATCTTTTCAATAACAAATTTTGACTATATGAGGAACTTTTTCATGTCTGAGGCAATTACTTAAAAGAACAACTGGCTCATAAGAAAAGTTCATGAGATGAATAGTTCAAATTTTGACCAAGTACCCGATAAGCTCGTCAGGAGAAGAAAGATCCAGCTTCCGTAGAATACTTGGCGTAAGTGCAGTGTATGGACCACGACCATCATAGGCTCTAACTGCAGCAGTCAATGCCTGTGCAGCTATACCATATCCACTGCATGTGAACAAGAAATAGATCTTTAAATTTAACAAAATACAGGAAAAGTACAACAACCAAAAAAATTTATAAAACCGTTGCTGCCTAGGTAAATCAATAGGACAAATTTAAATAACAAAATATCTCGGACTGGATCAAAATAAAATGTGGGATACAGAGGAAGGTAGTTTGAAACAGCATAAACAATTGGAAACTTAAAAATGACAATTGGTAATGGAATCTGGTATCAGGTTTGGAAGATGTAACCAAAGACAGTAACTTCCACTAATAATGCTTTAAGCTTAAACATGAGACAGCAAACTAAGGGAACAAAATTCAGATGAAAGCGCCCATATCGATATCTAGTTGTCAGCCAAATATCTCAAATATTGAAGCATCGTTAGCAATAACTTTTATTGGCTCTCATTTCACAGTAGAAAATGGACTTGCAAGGTTGAATCTTTCGTTTTTGTAATTTTCTAATTGTTTTAAAGTCTTATAAGTTGAATCGGAACCATTGGAAAGGGCAGCGCAAGAGAAATCATACAAAAATGTCGAATCTTCGAACCAAACTCTGTCTTATGTAAAGTTGCCGTGTGCAATGAAAAATGCAAGCACGACTTAGGTTTCAACATCAACAATAACCCAGCAGAATCCCACTAGTGAGGTCTGGGGAAGGTAGAGTATACGCATACCCTTACCCCTACCCCTACCCCAGAGGGATAGAGAGGTAAAGCACGGCTCAGGTTTATTCTGTAAAATAAAATTCAATAAAAAATAAACTAAACGGAAATAAGAATTAATTTGAAATACTAAATAAGAATTAGGAGTCTTTATGTCGCGTTACCGAGGACCTCATTTCAAAAAAAAAATACGCTGCCTGATCAGGCTTGATTCGATCAAGCCGCTGAGTACACCGGTTGTGCTTTATGAAAACAGAATTTCAAATTTCTGTTCAATTCAAACCAACCCATCACTTCGCATTATCTGGATCTAAAGAGCCAAATGAATCGAAAGGCTCATGTTTGGTTCGGGAATGGGAGAAGAAGCCAAAAGGATGAAATAGCACTTCAACACATGAAAATAAGATGACAAATGTAGTGATGCCGTGAAATGCATACCTTCCCCAATCTCCTAATACAGGCCCAGCACCAGCAGCTCGAGCATCTCTCCCGTCTTCAGTAAAACCATAAGCAATAGTTCCTGTACCAGCAATAAGGACACACCCGTGAAGCTTTCCCATTGTTCCACTTGCAAGAGCTGCCACAGCATCATTCTGAACAAAGAACTGGACATGGATGGGAAATATCTCTCTAGAAAAAATTAATGGAAAAAGTTTAGAAAAAGATAAAAAGTGTATGTAAGTAAATATGAATTCAAGGAAAAGAAAATCATCAAATATAGCAGATTACAGCAGCATGATGAATTCAAATAAAGAGCAAGGACAAGTACAGAAGACAGGGAGAGAAATGTAGGAGAATCTCCAGCCACGACTCACAAGATGTTGTGCCAAAAGGTGATTTATAAAGCCATGCCTCCGATTAGCAGAAGAACAAAGGACGACGCAATGCATCTTCAATGGCTAGAAAGAGTTTTCATTAAAGATTATAGTATAATCATTTTCTAAACTTCCAACCATTTCAGACAGACTTAATAGATTTGGATATTCACCGAAAGCAGTATCTCATCTCTAATTGCACTTTATTTCACCTTGTAGCAGCATAGGGCACGCTATGAACACAGCATTTAGAAACTAGACACTAGTGCTCGACGCATACAGTAAAGCACATGAAAATTTTAATATGGAAAGACGACTATAAAGTACGAACTTTTGAGAGCATACCTAAGCCAGTTAAGTATCCGTTCCTCATCTGTTGGATGGTTGACACCGGAGACAGCCAAACAAACAGCTTGTACACAGAAACGTGTTGAGCCTGCTTTTGAAAGAGCATCAGCCATCACTAGCTCTAGAGCATCCCTCGCGGCAGTTTCTGTAAGCAGATATCTATTGAGAACTATGGGCAGCAGAGTACTGATGCTTAAATAAAGTAGATGAAATTGGAATGAAAAAACAATCGTCTACACAGAAAGCATAAAAGCATTCTTTAACTGAAGATAATTGTTTTCCGCTCCAACAAACAGATTACTGCTCAATCTATTTCCTCAAACAGATAGAAATCAGGACACGGTCGCATCTCGACTATTCCATCAGGAACCTCTCCTGTTACCTCAAACCAGCACAGGTACCCGTTAACTTTGTCCATCACGGCTTAGGAAATGGGAACGAATCACCTAGTAATATATTTTTCTGCTGGAATTTGAACCTAAAACCCCATGGTTTTACTCCCACTTCATTGACCCCTAGGCCCCACCATTGGGTGCAGAATTCAATTTTATTTAAACAATAAAATTTTAAACTTCGATCGTAAGATTCTTTTCTGACGAATTTTTCAGTACATATAATGCATGACTCAGATTCACATCTTAAACTATGTGTCTAGTCAAACAGTAACGGAAGTGATAATTCATAGCATCGCTTAATTTTCTTTTTTCACTGAGTCACAGTAACTTAAAATACTAATTTGAAGCATTCAGTTTTCTTTCCTTTTTTGGTTTTTCCTATTTTATCTACTTCATGTCTTTCGGAGAAATATATAGCACATCTCTAAGTCCGAATGAGCGAATTTTCTGATTTTTGCTACTTGTGGTACAACTCCTTTTTAATTAGTAACACTAGTAGTGCTGTAACACATAACAACAACAATAACTACGCCTCAATCCCAAACAAGTTGGAACGCATGCTTCACCTATATCAATACAACTAACTTAAAGCATTCAGCTTTCTTTCCTTTTTAATTTTTTCTACCTTGTCCTATATTTTATCCAGGGGCGAAGCTATGTGTGGCCAAGGGTGGTCAACTGAGCACCCTTCGCCGAAAAATTATACTTGTATAGGGTAAACTATTATACTTGTTATTGGTCAAAAAATAGACTTTGAGGCAAAGAGTGTTCAAGTTTTGAACATCCTTGTTGAATTCGCCGTTGCTTTTATCTAGTTCATGTCTTTCACATAAATATATAATACATCTCTAAATCCCAATGAAAGAAAGTTCTGATTTTTGCTATTTTTGAAACATGTCATTTTTAATTATTATCACTACCAGTGCTGCAACACATAACAACAACAACTACTATTACTATTACTGCGCCTCAATCCTAAACAAGTAGCCGATCGGCTATATCAAAATATTTCAGATTATGTTAAAAGAAAAAAGAAAGGCCAAAGTGTAAATACCTCCCACACTGTTGTGATTGGAGCAGCCAGCAACTGCACGTGAGAGAATAGGAGGAGGATCAGGTAGTGAATCAGCAAAAGGGAGAAGAGGCATACAAACACAGACAGTACAAGTTGTATCTCCATCCAATCCCAATATCACTTCTCTTTCTTCACAAAAACCATCTCCTAAAAGCTGCTGCATTTCTTGCTCAAAATCCCATATTTCTCCATTTCTATACCTCTTCATTTTCCAATATTAAGAATTGGTAGGTGAAATGGGAGGAGTTCTTGAATGTGGATATAATAATAAGAAGGGGGAAAGAACCCATTTTTAATTTTGATAAAGTAAAAACAACAGAATAATAGAATATTGGGACGGCAATAAAGAGCCAGAAGCTAGAGTGTATCAAATTGACGTATCATTTTGTTGGACTACTGTTTTGAAAGTTTTGGTTCTTCATACAAGGACTGCAGAGTAAAGAAATCTAACCGCCAACTTTGTTTGTTGGCCATTTCTCCATTTTCCCTTTCTCTTTGTATCTTTCTGTCTATTTTTGTTTAATCGTAACTCTCTAGATTTTTATCACACTGACACTATATTTTCTTGTTTTTTGTAATATGTTTGAATCAGAACTCGAACGAACTCGAAATCTTTGATTAAGGCTTTAGGAATCTCATGGGGAGATTCGTGCAAATAAGCTATTATGGTGCCATAGTTTAAATTTTGCCTCTATTTTATTAAGTTGTGTGAATATAGCTTATGAGTCAGAAGTTAGAGTTCAATTTTGGAGCACCAGGAGTTTAGTATAAAATATGTTGCGGATCAATCAAAGTTTTTGATGGATGGGCTTGCCCTAAGTCCTAGAGAATATGTTGACGGATCACTAGAAGTTTTTAATGGACATGCGTTAAAATAGCACGGTATAGTCAGTTTTCGGACTGTTCATTCAAAAATAGCCAGCGTTTATCAAGTTAATGAAAAATAGCCATTATTTTTTGCAGCAAAGACCGGTCCAGCATAATATACTGGAGTTCGGTGCACCTATGTATGAACTCCAGCATATTATGCTGGACCGGTATACTTTGCTGGCTCCAGTATAATATACTGGAGACTGGAGCACCGGTACTCCAAACTCCAGTATATTATGTTGGACCGGTATACTTGATGGAACTCCAGTATATTATGCTGGAGTTCTAGTGTACTTATGCTGGAACTCCAGCATAAGTTTCAGCATACTTATCTTGGAACTCCAGTATAATATGTTGGAGTTCAAGTATACTTATCCAGCATAATATATTGGCGTATTTTCCGGGTTTTGAACAGTGTTTTCGCTCAGATTTATCTTTACATGAAAAGTAGCTAAATTTCGATTATTTTTGAAATTGGGAACGACCATCTGTAAATCTGACTATTTTTGAATTTCTCCCACAAATGCTTGATACATGTCCCAACAAATCACCAGGACTTAGTACCAACTTTCTCATAATTTTAAATAAACTAGTATTGTTAAGTTTGTGCTGAGCCCGGGCCCAAGCTTAATACTAAATATCAAATGGATAATCATCGGATTTACCATTTACGGTTAAATAGATTATACGTAGATTGTATACGGCTATAAACATATCAAGTATATACTATACATTCATCGGCTATTTTAGTTTAAGCAATTAGGTGAACGGTAATTTGGGTTAATTCTTCTGATTATTTATAGACATAATTTCAAAAAACTCTCTTGGTTTGCTTTAGTAATACTAATTACCTCTCATATGGTTTAAATACTATAATTACGTATTTTGTTTCTATTTTCTTGTTAAGAAACCGATTTCAAGTAATATATATTGCTGTAACATTTCGTAATTACCTTCTTCAACTTTAGTCCAAGGAGCTACGACAAAAAAAAAATTCATTGTCCCTTATTATATACTAGTATCTATGAACGTGCGTTGCACGTTAATAATGATACATGATAATTAAATATTTATTTATATAAAGAAACAATAAAATTTAATTAGTGAGAGAAATTTTATGTATAATAATACAACAAACATCTAATTGCCGAAAAATATTATTACATTAGCATAATACATAAATTTAAAATTAAAAGACATCATCAAAAACTTACACAAATTTTTAATTTTGTCTTGTTAGTTAAATAATTATGTATTTTAGTTTAAAAGTATTTAATGTGATGGTATCTTAACTAACACTTCTTTGTGGACAATATTTTTTTGTGTATGCTTTCTCCTAATGCTTTGGTTGCTCTGCCTTAACCAGAACTCTTGTTGTCGATCTTTATATCCCACTTGAAAGTGCAATATACAGTTGTTCGTGCAAGAAAATATATTGCGATAAATATAGTCTAATATTTAGGATGTTTGTCCTTGTGCTTTATTTATTATATTTGTAAAATATAAAATACTAAAAATTATTTTCACACAAATTTAAAAAGATATTCCTTAGTTTCGGAAGATGAAAGTTGAATTCAGGGATAAGAATATACTTAGAAGCACATTGACCAGTATCATAATTTTTGCATGTATGGTGTTATTGTCAAAACTTCTATATACCATCTGTGTGCTATTACATAAGTTATTCGGCGTATCTAAGTTTTTTAGTAACAGGACGGGCATTATTTTTCTTCAAAATTAATCTTTATACAATGGAATATCACTTTTAACTTAGTTTATTATATATTTGGTGACACTAACATACGTAAGAAATAATATATTTGCCAACAAACATGTATGGTAGAAGGCCATTTGGTATTAAAGTATTAAAGCGTTCTTCTCGGTAATAATTATTGGTACCGTTTTCTTCTGAGTCAAAAACAAAAAACATTTTGTTTTGACTATAAAATTTTGCAATTAACATTTTATTAGTTGATCAACATATTCATTTCTGCTAGCAAAGATATTTTTTTTTTTAATTCTATCATGCGATTTGCACAAATTACGTTTTAATCTAATGATAGAAATATTTTCCTTATTAAATGCACTACTATTACCATTGGATTGATAACAAAGTGTTCAAGAAGAAACAAATCATCTTTTATTGGATGTTCTTATTTGTTTCCGATGCGAAGCAAGAAAACATTGTATACTGGATCTGCTCTTACTTTATATTTCTTGTTAATTGAATCTTTTTTCATTTGAGGCCGGGAGTATAACTTTGGCAAGCTAACTTTTATAGTCTATGCTTTTCTCGATTTTGGAACTACTGGTAGTACGTGACATAAATTACCTCCCAAACCATAAATTTTCCACCAAACAGTTCATTAATATTCAATATATCTCTAGAACCCCGGGCAATTATTTCGATTGTTTGACACTTAGCCATAAGTGCTTCATATCATATTCAATTTTGCTTTCCTTATAAATTTTGCACCATTGCTCTGCTTTGATATATTTGTGATGGTTCTTTAAGTTGTTTAAAGATGTATATCAAATCTAAAGTAGGTGGTCTCACAATAAAATCGTTATTGGTACACCACTTGCTCTTATTGCTAATAGTGTAATTCCTCTTGATATGATATTTGTAAGCAATGCATGACATAGAAATATTATTTCGATTCCGCCGAAGGCATCTACAAAGAATAATCTCATTATAGCATAATCGACTCTTTATAATATAATGTTGAAAGCTTGTTCTTGCGTTAGGATTTAGCTTTGATTGTGCTTCCTCAAACACTTGTAAGCATTTTGATTCTTAATAATATACTAACCTTTTTACTTTGTGTTCAAACGCTCTTTTTTATGGAATAAATTTATGTACCCTAAGATTTTTTTTTAACTTGAATAAAAAATTTACTCATATGATGAATTTAAAAAATAATTGAATAGGATTCTCTCGCTAAATAATTAATTAAAAGATTTAATTATTTAATTTTAACATAAAAAATAATTTATTCTATGCTGATTCAGATCTTAACATTAATTCATCTCTTGTTTTAAATATTTAATCTTAATTATAATTTTATCCACTATAAATTTTACTTTCAAAAATTAAAAGATTGATATGACATTTCACTTTTATATCTTTATGTCCGTAGAATCATTAGTGATATTGACTCTTATCAACTATTTTTTTCTCTTTCTCACACATTTATATTCTTAAATATTTTCTTAGTTGTTGTTTAATAATTGTTTTAATATTACACGAAAAATTGACTAAAAAAATTATTTGAGTAGAAAAATAGTTTAAATATAAAATATATTTTCATGGAGGTATTTTTTTTCAATTTCAACTCTTTATGAAGTCCATTTAATACTACTTTTTTTTTGGTATTATATTTTTTAGAGTGGTAATGTATCGCCAATACGGAGTATTTTTATGAAATTAATTTTATTTAACCTTACTACATATTTTTTATAAGAATTTAATAGACAAAATTTTTATTAATTTTAAAATTTTAACTATTAAAAATTAGCATAGAAGGTATTGTAATCCAAAAAAAAAAGTTACTGCAGTTATGTCCTTGTCACGACCCAAACTGAAGGGCTATGACTAGCACCCGACCACACTTGCCGAGCACCAACGT